TCTCTCCCTCCCTCCCTCCCTCTCCTTCCTCTCCCTCTTTTTCTCTTCTTCTATAACACAAGCTTAATGATCACCTACCCTTGGGATTGAGGCAAACCTGCCTGAGAAGCCTCATTCTTCCTAACCTCTAAGCCAGAGTCAAGTTTAGACCAGAAACCAAAAACTAATCATCTACTACAGGCTGTTAGATAGTGGTCTCAGTGATGCTTTCAGCCATGTGCTGCCCAGAAATGAGCCTTGACAATAATCCTATTCAGAGTGGCCATCCTTCACTGCATGGAGAGGCTGTCTGCCTGTCAGGTGCACGGGACAACAGTTTAAACAATTATCCCAGCAGGACAAGCAAGCAGACAGCCTAGCAGAAAGCTATAGCTCTATTGTCAACAAGGCTGTCTAGGCCTGACCGCTGTACCCACTGGAACTCGGTACAAAGTAGTTGTAGGAGTGCTGACCCCACCTCTGACCACTGTGCCCTAGGCTAGGTAAGGCCTACTCACTTCCAAAGTGGAGCAATGTCCCAGCATTCCATCCAAAGTGGTACCCATTTTCCTCCAGCTTGTTGTCACTTTCCAGTTAGGAGACAAATATGGTTCTGATAAAACTCCCTACAGTGAGGCCCCTTCACAAACACATAAACTAGACCAGCATGCTGTGGGACTGTGTCTTTTCTGATGGTCAGGACACAGGGACAAATGAAGGCTGCAGCAGGGAAGGAGGGAGAGGAAGGAGAGGAAGGCGCTCCTTTCCCCTCATGTGGGGAAACATTTCACTAGGACCAGAAACCTGAAGGGTGGACAGGTTAATGAGTACTGCTAGTTATTCCCCTGCAGACTGGTCCACAGGGTCTGCATGTTCAAGGGCAGCTTGCACTTGATATTGGCTCATGGCCCCCACTGATGAGGATGCTGTGAAACACCAGCCCTTGATCATATTACCTTGATAATGAGGATTTTCTGGAGGGAAATCTGTGGTAATTGGCTCACCTCCTCCTGTGCTGGACACAGACCCTTCATGCTGGGGAAGTAGGCACACTGCCATCTGGACTTCCTGCAGAGTTCCTGCTTCTGCTGTCTCAGGCCACACCTGCAAGTCGCCACCCTGTATCTCCTGATGTAGAGAGCTCATCACTTTAAAGAGGATGGACATAGGAAAGGGACTCTAGGGGAATTTGAAATATGCAGCACTTAAGCTAGACCTACTGTGCATCCCTCTCCCCATGGCTCCTCCCATCTGTCTCTTCCATTCTCTCTAAATTCCTCCCTTAGTCAATTCTTTCCTGCTGCCTCTGCAATCCCTGGTTATCGTCCTCTGTTCTCCCTCTCCAGCTCAACCATGACACTTTATTTAGAAGTGGATTTGTACTGTGTCACTGGTAATTTTGAAGTCAGAGTTTTAAATTTGCATGCCCAGACAGTGAAAAAAGTTAATGTGCCAAATGCAAAGGAAAAATGACAGTATCAAACACAAAATTAATTAGTGTCATAGACACTGAAGGCCTGGAACCAGACCAGTGACTCCGCAATGAGCACTAACAAGTGAAG